TTTTGCTTTGCCATTCTGCAAAACTTAAGATGCTTCAAATTTAATCAAAACGCTCAGCCATATAAAAGAAGTGTGTTACAACTCACTATAAATTTGTCTTTCTAATTTAATAAACAAACTCGTTGACTTAAAAGAAATGTGTGCCACTAGCCGAGTTAAAATACTTTTAGCTTCCATGCGCCAGTATTTTGTCATTCAGCAAAGAGTAAGTTATTGATTCTGTTATTAAATTTATGTTATTAATTAAAAGATTAAGAGATTTAAAAGCAATAAATGCAGATTCATTTCAATTATTATTAATTGCTAACCGGATCCGTGAAATTATGCTAGATAGATTCATTAAAATCATTTATACAATATATATATAGGTTAAGAACTTTGCGCATTGAGCTGCAAAATTTAGAAAACAAGTTAAAAGAAAATTCTTAGTGCTTACGCTAAAAAGTAGCTTAGATACTGTGGTTCCGATGACAAATTTTTAACATAAATAAAATATAAAGTGTAATGAAAAGTGTAAACATTAAATAAATAATATTATCACTAGAATATTTACAAATAAAATTCAAATCTAATTATAAGTAATATGTTGATAAAGGTAAGGCAAACTTTAAACAATAGAATAAAAGTGTGACATAAGACTTAAGCAAAAATACAAAAACAAAAAAGCGGTAAATGGTAGATTAGCCCAATTCGAATCTCATTACTGACTCTTCAGGGAAATTTTTTATAGTGATTTTCGAATCCAGCTAATTCCATATCGCGTTTCGTCGAAACAGACAATTTAAATTGTATACGAAACTCTTTTTGAATGTTAACTGTAAAAAACTTAGTCAGAAACTTTAGTCTCAATTCTCTGTTCCATTTCCCGACACGTCCGCTTGAAAAAACACATTAAGGTATAAGAAAAAACCATGCATAATGGCCTGGTTATGCCAATGTACAAAATAAAATAAATATCGATTTGCTATTAGTCAAAATTACAAGATTTTTAGGGAGGACCTACTAGCTCATACATATATATATATATAGATATATATATATATATATATATACAATATAAAGTAGCAAGTAGTAAATTAGAAAAGATTTTTTGAGACCTAGTTAGTCAAAATTTGCGCGTTGAGTTACAAATTTTAAAAAAGAATGATAATGAAAGGAGAGGGAAAATTTAGCTAAAGCTGTAAAGAACATTTGAATAATCCTATTCCAGAGACTACATGTTAATAAAAATTAAAATAACTAAAACTACGTTAAAGCAATAAATTGTTCGCAGAAAAAAACCTACATATTAAACAAGAAAAACTATACAACAAAAGCAAAATGGGTACGCGAAAAAATCTAAAAAACTAATATAGTACAGAGAAATATTACATAGAAAAAACATGGTCAATCTACTTTGTTCAAGGCCTTACGCAGAATTTGTCAAGAGAAAAGTGCCCGAAGCCTCCTACCAAGCCGATTTACCAGTAAATAGGCACGTTTCCTAGAACAGATCCATTGAGACTGTAATCGGCTTTCCTAGTATAAAATTTAATTAAAATTTTTTATTTATTATTAACGATGTCTCATTTGATCTGTTCCTTTTTCCGACGTGCCTGCGCATGAGAAAACACAAAAGTGAACTTAGAAAGTTACCAAATTTTTAAACAAGAAAAACTTGTAATCTAATTAAAATAGAAAAATTATCTAAAAGATGTAAGAAAAATCCCATACAAAGTAGCTTGGTTAGGCAAATGTACACATAAATTCGACAGTGTTAAACCTACAAGTAATTAATAAACAACATTTCAAGTTACTGGCCCCTGCACTCGAAAAATAAAAACTTTAATCCTAATGAAAAAAAAATGATATATAATAATATATATATATACATATATAATATAATATATTGGGCCATATAAAAAGTCTCCGCGGATTTTTGGTACATTTTTGAACAAATATTTTTATTTATTGAAAAATCACTTTTAATCAAGTACATATTGACCATTATTATCTATGACCTTTTGCTATTTTTCGGGTAGCTTCATAGTTCGATTGGTGTAAAACTTCTGTGGTTTATCATTGAAAACTTGGCCAAGTAATTTTCAGCGGCGCTTTGGTCGGCTAATTTTTTTACCATCAAGAGAGTTTTGCAGAGACCGAAATAAATGGTAGTCAAACCGTACAAGGTCCCGTCTATACGGTGGATGCGTCAAAACATCCCAACCAAGCTCCGTCAATTTGTTCCGAGTCATCAAAGATATGCGTGGCCGCGCATTGTCATGATGGAACACAACTCCCTTTCTGTTGGCCAATTCTGGTCACTCTTTCTGGATTGCTTCATTCAAATGGTCCAATTGTGCACAGTACAGGGCCGAATTGATGGTTTCGCCAGGTTGCAGCAGCTCATAGTGGTCAATTCCGAATCTTTGACATCGAAATTTCCGGAACGGAATCGAGCAAACCACTCCTAGGTCTCTCGTTCACTCACAGCATTCTCACCGTACGCTTCACATATTTTTCGATATGTTTTGCCTTTTTTTATAGTAAAAAAGCATCACATAGCATATTTCTTCAGCTATTTAATTCATTTTCAAATCAATATAACTTTTTATTCAAACAACGAATAAGAAAACTATCTTCACAAATAATGGAAGCTAAATGTCACCTTTTAAGCACATGTTCGTTTGAGACAATGGGATGAGTTTTGCCGGCTATATCGGCATCAACACCATGCATCAACACCATCTAGTAGGGGAAAAAAACCTCGGAGACTTTTTATGTGGCCCAATATAATATATAATATATAACTACAAAACAATTTTTTAAAAACAAAATATAAACATGTCTAGTATTTTCGCTCAAAACTGCTGAAAAATTATCAGTAAAAACATAAAGTAAGAAATTTAGAACTGTAACCAATCCTTTAAAATAAACTGTTGGACTAACTGTGACAACAAGGGTGCCCTCTGGTGAGTAATCAGAGAAGGTCTTTAGTAGAAGCCAAGTGTTTAACATGATAGGTTGTTTCAGACTCTTGCTCTGTAATTTTCACAAAGTTAAATGTAATGTCGGTGTGTAACTTAAACCTGTTAATAAATACTTGTTACACTATAAACGATTCTTCTGTGACCCTATCCAAAACGATATCCCTCATAGAACCAATTTTTCACAAAGACCAAGAATTTAAATTCATAATTAATAAATTTCAAAAAATCCTACAAATGCAATAAAGAATTTAAAAATGTTAAAACCAAAACTTTTCGAACAAGCAATACCCCAATTAAAAAAATAAAGGAAATTTAAAGAAAAACGAATATAATAGAAGAGGAATTTAAACAACTTCAATGCCTTTTCGTCAGGAGGAGGAACACTGAAATCAATAGAAATCTCTCTTACGCAAAAATCCTTTCTTTCCTGCATTCAGAAGTAACCGACGAGCCATTTCAATGTATTTTAATATAATACTTCACCGGAAAATTCTGACTCCTCCCCAAAGCAAGAAAATAAACAAAGTAAATTCTAATTAGAATCTTGTACATTAAATAAAGAGAATTCTAGTTAAAGAATGGAAACGTAAGTGAAATAACAAAATACTTCAATGAAAAATTCAAATCAAAATTTTACCTTTAAACAAATAGCATATATTCCAAAGATTTTATAACGTAAATGAAATTATAAAACTTTAGTGAAGAGACTTAATTAAATAATTAATATATATAGCTATTTATCTAATATATGTAATATATGTGGATACTCGATCTTACAACGTATCCACCTTTCTCCTTCCTGCACTTGGCAACCGCATCAGCAGCTAGATGATTCTCGAAGCTGTGTGATAAGTTGACTTCTCCACTTCTGCGCGTGAGAGATGCTGCAACAGCAACGTGGTGAACGGATCCTAAAAACTATTATGTAGTAGCTAGAGACTTTGAAACATTCCCATTTGGTGTGAGGATTACCACTATTGTGATGCCACCCTATGCTATGGAGCTAAATTTTTATCTCACTTCTTTTCATCTTTCTATGTTTCTTTTTTTTTTTTTTTTCATTAAAACACTAAATCTACTAAATCTTAACATTGGTGTCATTCTTAAAGTAAAGTAGAAAGACACCCACATGGGGGCTCGGCCCCAAGAACTCTTTCGACTCCTTGAACTAAAATCTGTTCTTCTCTTCAGCTTTTTAAACCGCCTACACTACCATATAACATACCGAGTATAGCTATTAATGATGGAATACTTTGGAAACCTATGAACTAATATCGCAAGATCCCAGTTGTTGTGATTCGTCAGCACGCAAGTAGAGCTAATTTTATTTGATGAAGTAATACTAATGAGGAAGTAATATTCTTTCAAGTTATTATGAATATTTGATGACGCCTTTTTTATGAAGTTTATTTGAAGAAGCAAAAGGCATTTGATGTTGATGAAAATTCATTTTATTTTTGAATGATTATTACTTTGAAGAATTAACACTTCCGTTTTCGAATTTGATGTTGATGATAATTATTTAAACAGTTTGATGAAGTTTAATTGAATAAACTAAAGGTATTTGACTTTGATGGAAATACATTACTGACTATTTACAGAATTGTGATGTATTAAAAAGTTACTTTGAAGAATTACTTTCGTTTTTGAATTTGATGCATAAATTTCTTATTTCTTGTGATGCCTATATTTTCCAAGAACTGTACAATATTATTTGAAGTTATTAATTTTTATATCATATCTTAACGTGAAATTCTATTTTCCATTAGTCTTATATAAAGATTTGTTTGACGATACATTTTACCATTTGTTTGAATCATATGTTCACAATTTCATTTATGAGTTTTGAGTGTTTTAACATCATAGTTATTGTGTAATATATTAAGAAGAATTAATATTATTGTGAATAATAACAAAAATGAACATATTTTGTTGTGATAATTTCTGAAACCAGATAAATAATATTTGATGAAATCGAAACATACATATTTTGTGGAATTTCATATTTGGTTAAAACAAAACTGATAACTAATGGCTACACTTAACGATTATCCCAACATTGCACAGTCATTAAACACTGCCAGTACAAAGCATATCAAGCTTTTACATCGTTTAGTTTTTGGCTCAGATGGTGATAATGATGTTGATCAAGATGACGTTGCTGTTGTTGATGAAGATCATGTCAATGAAGATGATGTTGATGACAACGAAGATCATGATGATGATGACAGTCATAAAGCTAATGATGATGATGATGATGTCGATAATGATCCAAACGTGCAGAATACTGAAGAAACTGTGAAAAATAAACTGAATCAGTTTGAACAAGCATGTGCTGATCAAGCAAACAAGAAAACACCTGCTAAAAGTGCAGAAACTCCCAAAGAACAGAAGGCCTGGAAGTATAAACGAAGAAAATTTAAACGAACTTCAAAGACAATGAAATTGCTAACACAGCATGATGATGAAAAAGCTGCATTATGCATTGAAGCTCAACGAAACCTCCTCCGTTTACATCAAGCACATATACGACAGTATAAGAAACGTCGCAAACCTGCCCGCAAATATAAACTTGGACACCAAATGCCAATCCGAACTGAAACTTCGACTTAAACTGAAACTTGAACTTAAACTTCGTCCCAAATTCTTCGGTTCTAATGAGACAGTTCATCCCTCTGATTGTTACGAAGTACGAAAGATACGCGATGAAGGAACCCTTATAATATCAACCTGTACTGATAAGATGAACTGGTGGTGCACAAAGCTAACATTCGCCACCTGGACTTTGATTTTTTTTTCACTTTCTCTGCTTTTTTTTTCTTTCTTTTCAGATCAACCCCCAGGCGAGGACGCCCGGCAAGGCAGAATGGCCGTGTGGACATTCGATCTTACAACGTATCCGCCTTTCTCCTTCCTGCACCTGGCAACCGCATCAGCAGCTAGATGATTCTCAAAGCTGTGTGATAAGTTGACTTCTCCACTTCTGCGCGTGAGAGATGCTGCGACAGCAACGTGGTGAACGGATCCTAAAAACTATTACGTAGTAGCTAGAGACTTTGAAACATTCCCATTTGGTGTGAGGATTACCATTGTGATGCCACCCTATGCTATGGAGCTAAATTTTTTTTTATCTTACTTCTTTTCATCTTTCTATGTTTCTTTTTTTTTTTTTTCATTAAAATACTAAATCTTAACATTGGTGTCATTCTTAAAGTAAAGTAGAAAGACACCCATATATATATATATATAAAAGAAGGGTGTTCGTTTGTTTGTTTGCTGTGTGTGTAATTCATACAAATGTATTGTTTTATTCCAATCGTGGCGAAATTTTGAAACTTGACCATCAAAATAAGAAAAAGGCAGTCTCTATATAAGATTTCCGTACACCACGCCACGAAGAATCGACACTTAGGACGTTTATATTATAACGCTGTGTTCACGTCACCCAACCGAGGTTCATGTAAGCGTTGTTGCGTTTCGGCTGTCAATAAAAATCATACATGATAGGCAAGGAAGTGAATTCTTGTTGTACAAAATAAAAAGCATTAAGATTTTTACGCAGTTTCAATTTTGAAATCAAGTTACCCATCTCTGACTCATGTCGCCGTTGTTGTGTCCTCGCTATCAGTTCCCTCAAAAATTGTTTAATGGTGTAGTGTTTGTCTACTTCCTTAAATTTTCCAGAACAAATTTAAGTTCCCTCTGTATCAGTTTTTCCGACATATTTCGAAAACGGTGAAGAAATTGTCTTAGGGATCTTCAGAAAACATATGCTCAAAAAAAGATGTAACCGATAATAAAGCAAGTACCAATTCTTATTAAAACCTTTTCATGGCGCTATGGTAGTTCTACATAGTTCAACATTTTATTCGAGCTTGGTCAATTTTACATAATTCGTAACCAAAATAAGAGAGAAATCACTGTCTATGGGCACTGTCAGGGCCAATACCCGAAAAATAATAGAAGAAAATTCTAATAATTCATTAGTTATCGTCAGCAATTGAATATCAACTCAGAATTTCAGTAGAAAAATGCAGAACTCTATATATATCAGAAACAAGAGCTTCAGGAAGAAATATACGAAATCCTATCATAAAATTATCTCAAAACAAAATAAAATTTGAAAACACCTTAACTTATCTTGGCATCGTAAGAGAGGATCATCTATCGTGGCATCAACATATCAAATACTTTAAAAACGAAACGCTTATATACTCTCCAATTCATTACGCACCATTTGTACAAGTACTTGGGGCATCAATCCAACATTCCGAAAAATACGGCACTCTACAGTTATTGAAAAAATACTTCTTCATGGAGCCTCTGCCTGGGGTAATAAATAAACTAAAACACTCATGCTCAAAGACGCTTACAATCCGCCCAAAGACTATTTCCATTATTAATATCCAAAGCATACAGAACTACTCCAACAAATACAATTCAAATCATCACTAGCATACCACCCATTAATATTTCAATCAAAAATGAAGCCACAAAAGTCCAAGTCTCAAGATTACGTATCACAAACTCATTTAACAATTTACTCTTTTGGGTATCGTGGAAAACATAGATATCGGAGATATTCAATATGATATATATTTATGTTTTCAATAAACACAAAGCTCAGTTTATTTGGTGTGAAAAAGTTTACTGAACTTATCATCGAAACTTAGTTTCCGTACCACGTTTATTCCGGTAAGCGCTACTCAATTATTAATGCTACAATTTAAAAAAAAGTTGACGAAACATTGGTTGGGCTTGTTCAATTTCAGTTTTATAGTTACACAACTGCTAATTATTGCAGCCGTCACACATCTTTCTCAATACAACATTCCGTCGAATAATTTATCATCAAATAATAAACTTTTTATGGGAGCTAAAAATTTGTTTCACTTTTGTTTTACATCCCACACTGTTTTCCAAAAAAATGTTGCATTTAAAATTGTACAAAAAGAGCAATTTCCCTCTTCCGGTTTAGCGAATACAAAACGCAGCTGCAGTGAAAAACCTCAAATAAGCTTTCATGAATTGTTTCATAAAATGTTGCGTGAATGTCGCGAGTTCTCTAAAATACGTAATCATTGACCCACGAAAGCATACTCGCGACCGTAAAGAGCAACTCTAAAGTAATTTATGACAATAATAGATCGCCCATTCCAAAATTGAAAAATAATCACATAATCCAGGACATGTCCTGAAATGGGACACAGCACTAATATTTGTAATAGCTGATGACTCTGAAATAAAGCTAAAAAAAAACACCCTGATTTAGTACTTGCTTCTTACTCGTAGGTGAACTGAGAATTGAACTCCCTGGCAGTTGGTGTCGATTGTTTTTTTACACTTTTCACCCGAATGGGATCTGAGAAACAGACTTGAAATTTTCTGCAAAATTCTTCAGAAATTTCTATACGACTACAAGTACGTGTCAACGCACCAAACCTGCCAAAATTTTGCCAGATGTCGCAAAGCTTAGCTAGATTTTAATAAGAGATGTATCAGATTGTTCACGAGTCTTACCAGTCCAATGATTATGCAATCTAGCATCAAGATATAAGTGTTATCAAAATGCGATGGAACTCCATTTTGTTGAAGCACAACTGCATTGTAAAGCCATTTGAAATTGGTTATAATAAGCTCTATTCTTTCGTCTAGCTACTCAAGCTGTGGATTTGAGGCTTTTTTACGCCTTCTTTAATTCTTTGAACAATCTGTGTTGATGAAAATGCATCTCTGAACGATGCTCATCCAGATCAATTCCATTCTTCGAAACTGGATGGTCAATAATCTTATACTGAGTCTTGTTAGATTTGGTTTACAGAATTTCCACTGAAAATGTTTTGGTTCTCAGTATAATATTGATTCAGGCCATCATACAAGCAAAAATAATTTTGTCTACAACTGTCAGCATGATTCATTTCACATGCGAAAAAAAAAATCGTCAATGTGTTCATGGATCGGAACTTTAAAAAATGTATGTATTTAATATTTGCTAATAGATTTGTGAAGAATAAACACAAGTATAATAATAATTATAAAAATAATTATGTGTGAAATATATGTTTAATGACAGGATTTTTTTCTGCTTTTCTATCCAGCTGCTTATCCACCTAGCTAAATTCATAGGCTTCATCATTTTGTTCTGCATGAAAATCCAGGTGCATTTCCAACAATTAACTTCTTAAAATCTAATTAACTAAAGCTTCTTCCCTTTCATGCGGCATAAGAGTGTTATATTATTTTTCAAATTAAAACAGTATGTTGTTTGACTCCCCAAGGCTTATGGCTAAAAATTCCGTATAGAAAGACAAGACAGCTTTCTAATTCCTTCCACATGATAATTTTTGCAAGCACCCTGATCTATCCAATTTTGGATTGGAAATACACCGGAAAAAAATATTCAAGATTGAAAAGATTATTTCGGAACTATGATCAAGAAAATATTATTCACTCATGAGGGTTTAGAGAACATTCACGAGATTTGAAATTTCAGACTCAAATTCCCCGTAACGCTTAGAGAAACCGAAGTGATTTTAAAAAAATAATATATATCTTAATAACATTATTAATGTTTATATTACACTACTGCAATTAAAAAAGCGTTCTTATCATACGTTATGTACTTCAGATACAAAACTTTTATTTAGTTGTAAATTTCGGCAACTTTACGATGGCAAGAAATTTTAAAGTTTCTTTTAAATTTCCTAAAAGTATAAAATAAAACCAAAATTGGCGTTGATTAGTTTTGAAAATTAGATGATCAGAAACAGTTTATACTCTGTCGATGTTATATTCAAAACTGTGCCTATATAACTTTGTAAAACTGTTTTCAATCAAATCGCGCTTTCGTGAAGTTCAAAATGAAATAAAGTTTATATAATATATAATTACAATTAACGGTTGTAAAAATAAAGGTCGGGTAAGGACTTTTAATCCAAGTAAAGCGGTGGGTGCATATATTAATAATTTTGGTGCTGTCGATTGCAATAAAAATTAAATGTGCATAGCTAGATGTTAAAGTATTCCCATATACAAAATTTCAATGTTCTACGGCGAATCATTTTCGAGCTATGCGAGATACATACATACGTACATATGTACGTACGTAGAGACATTACAGAAAAAAATCCCTTTTAATGCATTTTAAATCCAATTTGCAATGCGCTTTGGAAAAAAGAGTCCTGTATTCTGTGTGTACGTACAGAGGCAACACACACACAAATGTCGAAGTGGATTCAGGAACGGTCAGAATGGATGCTCCCATTGAAATATGAAACCAGAACCTTTTCATAATTGCAAAACTTCTTTTGCTTCGTACAAGGAAGTAAAAATGAAAGTTGTAAGCTAAAATGTATCACCAAAACCATAATATGTTTTTTAAATCCATTCTTTTGGCATAGTGGCAGGAAAGCTGCCATAGCCTTGCACCCAAATTCGAGTCCTTAGAAAACATAGATGTTTGTAAGTGCATAGTGTCTCGGCTTGCATGAACTTAAAGTATTATTAGGCCGAAAGTCTTCTCGATAGATTTAGGAGAATGTGGAAGTTTGGGAAGAAGAGTAAACCGTTCCCCGGGATGTTCTTCATCAAATATGATATATCTTACCCTTTGT